GGCTGTGGGGGGGACCTCCTGCACCCAGCACCCAGCAGCCCTACAGCAGCTGGAGCCCAATGCCATTTCTTTGTGTTTTTCCAGGGATAAAAAGGTGCAGAAAGTTGTTTTGGTGAATCAAGTGACTCAATGAATTGGGAAACCAGCAGGCTCCCAGATCCCACCAGTGTCGGGGGGGATGTGGGGATGGAGCAGGGGTCCAGGGGCATCCCAGCGCTTCTAGCCCCCCCCTCCCCTCCCCAATTTGGTACCTTAAAGGGCCTGAAGAGCAGGTAAAGTTCCCGGGGCTTGATGTCCAGAGGCAGCCCGCTGACAAAGAGTGTCCTCACCTGGGAAAGAAAGGAGGTGCTCCTGGAGACCCTCTTTTTGAGATACCCTGCGCCTCCCGCAGCCTTGGGTGCCGGCAGACAGAGGGACGATGCCAGCCCCCTCTGAGGGGACCCTCTCACGCAGCCAAAAGCCTTAAGCCAAACTGGAGGGATGCTGCGTTTTTTCAGGCATCTCCCCTTCCCTCAGATAACCACGGAGCAAGCTGCTGAGATATGGAGAGAGGTAACTGAGACCCCTCCCCACCGCACCAAGTTCCCTCCAGGCCAAAAAAGCTGCAGGCGTCCCCATGCCCTCCAGCCCCAGTCTGGCAACCGGGATCTCTCGTGGCAGCCCCAGCAGAGCCATACTCTGCAGACGATGCTGATTGTCTCTAATTCCAGCAGGAGTTCGTTAAGGACCAGGAGGTGCAAACCCTGACTCTCCCCCCTGGAGGAATGCCCCTGTTCTGGAGCACGCTGGTTTTAAGCAGCCTGTCCTGATTTATAAAATTCACCTTTTAAGGGGTTTTAACTCTTTTGGGGGGGGGATCTGATCTTTGCCATGGTGCAGCATCCTCAAACCTTTCCAAAACCCTCCTTCCGCCGACCCCTGGCCAGGAGGGATGCAGGGATGGGCAGAACCAACCCAGATCTCACTGCCACCGAACACCTGCCTGCGCGGGGCAGTGGGACCCTGCGCTGTAACCCTGCCTGAGCTGTAAATTCATTCCATCCCACAGGAATTGGCCGGGGAGCCTTGATCTGCTGGTGTGATAATCCTGTTAACAGCCCGGGAAAGCCAGGTAAGAGAATAATCCCTTGGCAGTAAATTCTGCTGAATAAATGAGCCCTAAAAGCTCCCTCCCTGTGGCACCCCGCCGTGCCCCTGGGGACTTTATTTCCCCCCCCTCGGTGTGGCATTGGGGTCCCCATGCAGCCAGGGACAGGTGTGGTGTTCCTCCTACCGACAGCTAGACCTGCTGCCCATCCTTCATTCCCCAAATCTCATCCCAACACTTCGGTGACGGATGGCGG